AAGGATAAAACTGGAAAAGATAAGAAAAAAGATAGAGATAAGGAAAAGGATAAAATGAAAGCCAAGAAGGGAATGTTGAAGGGCCTGGGAGACATGTTCAGGTAAGTCTTTGACACCCCAAACCAGATCATCCCTCAGCGTACGTGTAAGATTAATAAGAAACACTGAAAGCACAGATTTGAAAACATGATTTGAGGTCAACCAAATCCTTTCTAATTTCCAGTCTCAGCTATTGCGTTTTTACTCTCTTTAGGATTTCACTTTCATTATTTCAGACCGTGTTAGCCTTAAAGATGACACCTTGCCAACCTTGGAAATGACTGCTGAGAGGCAGGAGGGGCAAGTCTGTATCTTAGGCCTGAGAGTAGCAGCCCCGTTGAGACAAAGGGCTGTTAAAGCAGTGTTTGTTCTTTTGTGAATGTGAACAATGGTTCATTATTTAAATTTAACACAGAGCTCAAGTTGGTGGTAGCATTTAAAGGTTCATTTAAAACAAGACTAATAAAAAAAATGTTACAAATAGCGCTTCAGTTAAGCTGTGTTGATTAATTTAATACTTATTACTTCGGTCTGTAAAGATTTCATTAAACGTAGTCTCTGGCTGTTTCCTGACAGCAGTTTTTGTGTCCCTAAATTATACTCTAGGATTACTTAGCATATCATTTTTTACAACTCATTGCTACACAATAAAAGTGACAAGTTGCTCAGAAGTTGTACTGAAACTCTCCCGTAAATGTTCTTAGATAGGTGATTTATAATATTCAGGTATTTAATGGGAAATATAAAGATTATTTGATTGTCCCATAAATTAAACCCCTAAACATATCAAGATGATGGTTTAAATTTGAAAACATATAGCATAGCCACTTGACTTTTCAAAAAGTAGTTCTCCTGTGTTATGAATCCTTTTTTAAAAAAACTTTTTAAAACTGTAAAGTGTGAATGAGTTTTTATTTTCATAGAATTTCTTTATTGATGATGCTGAGGTTGACCTCAATAACTCAGGGACTTACATAGATAAGCCAAACCTATAAACTTGAGAACTCAGGGCGCAGCTTTCAGGCTACGCAACCCAACAGATGGATTCTGTAGATGTCTGATTAAGTCAAGTGCATGGAAGAAGTAAATGATAGACGGGAGATAACACAAAGCCTGGCCTATTAGCAGTGTCAACTTGAATTTAAACACAATTGGATTTCCATGTCCAGTGCTTTAGAACATTGGGATTTCCATAGTTTTACATTAGAGTCTTTCTTGTTTATATACTGACCCTTCTGAAACTGCTCTAATTGCCACTTTATTTCCGTTTCTGTGTTAGCCAGGGGTGCTTTTCATTCCATAGATGCAAAGTGACAGCTCATAAACTGGCACCTACAGAACATACAGACACAAGGCTGTTGCCATCTATTAAAATGTGCAGAATTTGTACTACTGTCTTCTTTAAATTAGAGAATATGAAAGGGGGGGAAGGCTCCCCTGAGACTTACGTGTCCGACTTGTAGCCCAGTCTCATTTCCAGGGTTTCTCCTGACGTCTTATTGAAAGCTGATGGCTGGTTAGTTTTTATTCGTTAGCCAATGTTTACCTGGTAGATACAGTGCTCTGTTCTTCTCATGGAATAGAAAATAAGCAAACTTTTAGTTTGTTTGTAAATTATTTTAATTATAAATTTTTTTTTTTTGTACTTGCAACTCCAGAATAAGAGAGGTCTTATGATCAAGTTTTCTTTGGGGAACCAGAGAGTGGAGAGTGTCGGGGCTGTTAGGAAATGTATGTTGTTTCAAAGGGATCCTGAAATACAGCCCGACCCAATGCCCTTTTTGCTAAAAGTCCTGTAAAGTACAATATGATGTTTTTTTCTAGATCAAATTCTATAGTTTATACCTATAACCTACAGTGATAGCCAGCTTTGTGATGGAGTTGACCCATTTATAACTGCATAATCTTGAAAATCAGCTTCTGTGTTTAGGTTCAGGGACTGAAGGTTTTTTCTGAAAAAGAAGTTTGTATTCTCCCAGTGTTTAAGAATGGTTAGTAAGAGAATCACAGATGTCTACCTTTTCTGGGTACATGGCATATAGATGGTTTGTTAGCTCACAATGGCTTGTGAAAAGCCAATTTTTTCCATTTTGAGAAAATTTGCCAACCAGTTGTTAAACATTAACCATTACTAAAAATTAAATAAGTTCTATAAAATATTCAAAATTCATCACTTCCTACCCTGTTTCCCCAAAAATAAGACCTAGCCAGAAAATAAGCCATAGCATGATTTTTAGGTGCCAAAATATAGCACCTTAGCACACTGAGTATTTTAAGCTGAAGGAGTTTGTGGAAAAGGCACCCTTATCCTTGAAACACGTCATAAAACCCTCATGTGAGGGGTGCGAGCCCTCCATATCCTGGGTGAATCATGCTAGGGCTTCTTCTCCGGCTGGGTCTTCTTTTCAGGAAACATGGTAATGATTTTATTACATGTTACTATGATCGGTTATTTATACCGATTGTATTGGCATGGTGTTAATACTGTATATACTGGTGTGAAGCTCTCCCAGCTCCATCTTTAGTGACGTTATGTGATGCATGCTTAAAATCAGCCACGTTATGAGTCCATACAGCATGGAAGTGTGTGAATTCCACAAAACTGAGCTTTTTCTCTGAGGAGAACAACACACCACTATGGGGGAGGAAAATAAATTTTCTCCTACCCTTCTGAGTTCTTCTGGCTGGACAAATAAATAAACATGAGGCAGGTTAACAGGAGAAGATGACCCGATTTATTATGTATGTACACATGGGAGTTCCCTAAGAATGTGGGACCTGCCATCTTTAACAATGGGACACAGCGAGGACTTGGATCGAAGGGGCATTGCTAGGAAGTTCCTCCCTGTCTGTCACACTTAGTTCATATTAATCTATAATTATCTATGATAATAGCACCCCTCTTGGAGCAGGTCCGTGTATCTAAATTTTGGGGGCCAGTAGGGGGAAGTTCAAAGGTTCTCCTGAGTCTTGTTTCTTAGAAATAACCAGCTTAAAAATGATCAGTATCTTAAAAAGGGCAAACTCTGCATCCCTTCACCGCCACATGGAGAATGTAAATACAGTGATATCTTGGATTGCGAATAACATGGTTG